ATTATCCACATCCTTATATATGGTTCTGATGACAGTATAGCCTCCTTGTCGTGTGGTTACCACTGCCTGCTTGCTTCCTCTTGGTTTCGTGCGATACGAGGAATGATGACAAGCATAGTTTTTTGAACAAAATACAGTACGAGTACGAGATCCATAGTCAGCCCTATTCACAGCTTCAAGAATAAGCTCGCAGTTGAAACCTGAACTACTCTAGGCATTCTAGGAGTGGTGCTGAAATGAGGAGAAAAAGTTGTGCATAGTGCAACATTCGTTCACTAATCTGGAAGGCGGGATGTTTCCCATTCCGATGCGGTCGTGTTGTTTTCGAAACCGAGAAAGATTCTTATTCGATCGAGATTGAAGACAAAACAACTTGTCGCGGTGGGCTGCGTTCATGATTCTCATCTGCGTTTGAGCGTTTTGGGGAGGTGAAGTTAGCTATCGACTAGGCGTTTCGAACCTTTCGGTGGAATGCTAGCGTTCTGAGCGAAACGTATAGTGTAGGTGTCGATAGGCGCCAAGAAGGTGTCGATAGGCGCCAAGGATGTTTTTATTCTCATGTTTTCTGGGAATGCGCGGCCTCTGATGGATACTGCAGATGCAGCCGAGTTGCTCTTGAGTTCTGGCCCTCGTCATCATCTTCTGTTCTTATTTTGTAGCACCTCCAATGTTATCCGCATCAGGAAATTGCGTTTTACTCGTATTTGAGAGCGCAATTAAAGGACTTGGCAAAGTGCCAAGGAGCCGCACGCGACACGCGCGCTTGCAACGGATGTTATGAAGGACGGGAATCTGCGCCGCAAAAGGTGTAAGGCGGAGCATGGAGGAACTAGCGTGTTTCACGGTCCTGTATCTCCATTCCTGGGCATGTTTGGGCGGGGGACCACGACACATCGACAGCTGGGGGGGGGGGGGGGCTGATAGTCTCATACACCCTCAATGTGTTTGAACGTACCATATGTCTTTAAGGCGGCAGCTTTCGCTGCATACGACACAGTACACGAGACAACCAAAAAAAACCTAGTTTAGAAGCATGCCGAATAATATGACCAAACTAGCACGAAATCATATAGAAGCTACCAGCGAAGATAATTTTTTTTCTATGTGTCCACGCTTTCTTTGTACAATGAAGCTTTTTCCAATAATGAAAGAATTTGAAGTTACCCATGCAATGCTGCCAAGTAAAGTACACCGAGGTTTCACTACCTAGCGACTGAATGGTGGAGGCCACTATTCGCCAAAATCAAAGATATTCTTTTGAAAATGAAATATGGGGTGTCCACATGCCTTTCTTACTCACTGTATAGGGTAGTAATGATGGATTCCCAAGAAACACATTATTCTTTCTTGGGCGACTGCTCTTCCCTCTTCTGCTGTTGAGTTGAGAAAAGCCTATTTTCCCAGCCTAGGAGGAAACTACAATTGGCCCAATGTGGCATTTGTTGTTCCTTCGTCAGTTCATGCAGTACCCATTTGTTCATTCTCTTGATTCTCCTCATTCGTTTTGAATGTCTTGTCAGTAATGCACAGTGCACACCTGGTTCTCATCTGAACGTTCTGATGTTGCTCTCTCGGCTCGCATCCGAGGCTTTCTCCAAGCGTTCGCCTTGTGGAAACAGACTGCGCCCACGCCTGAGTCATCTGAAGGTCCACATCTCCATAAGCGAACCAGTTCTGTACCAAACTGAGTCTTCCGTTCCAAACTGAGTCTTCTCCCTACACACCATGTTACCTATAAGGGCGATAGAACGTTCGCATTTAAAATAATTTGACGTGGCGTTGTGTCTCACAAGGTCCTTCGGGTCATGGCGCGCTTTTTAGAAATGATTTGCGCTTTTTAGGAATGGTGTGTTGCATTGTGTCGTGCCAATTGCTTTTGATGGCATATATCTGAGTTTTTTTGAATGACCAGGAACGCAAAGAAGGGAATCCGGAAAGTGCATTCTCCACCCCCCCCCCCTAAATGCATCTCTAAGCGGACCCGATCAACAAGCTAGCTCGTGATTTGAGAGCCTATCTACTCCACCATCCGCATACCGTACGAGTGCGCTGCGGAAATCATTGAAGGAACTTTGATACTACCTCTCTCCATGCCAAATCAGGTGCTCTCTTATATGCTTTTTTTTGCTCTTTTCTCGATGCATAGTTCACGAGCATCTCATGAACTGTGCATGCTCTAAGTTACAGTTAGAACAGAGCTCACTGAGATGGATGAAATCGCCCTTTCGTATCGAATTTTTTTTCCACTCGTTCGGGTATTCCTATGAAGCACAGCAAAAATGGAACCTATTTGATGATCCGTGTGCGAACCCCGACCTATGCGAGGAACTTTATCTAAAAGGCGCGCCAGGACCTGAATGACCTCCGTTGTTAGTCGCTGTACTCTTTATTGAAGACAACAGTGTTAGTGCTTGGTACTACTCTAAGGGAAATTCTTCAAGCATATCCCTGATCGTTTAATTTCATTTGTTTAGCCAGTACTTACTCACTTCTTTTGCAGTGAAAATGTCCGAGAATTCTATTCACTGGGTGGCCCGCACGGAGTAGATGAATCACATGTTGATCTAGGATCGAAGGAAATCACAACGTAATGTTACCGGCTCTGTATTTGCTCATCTATTCATTTATTCAATACATTTAAAGGTGTGTTGAAAGATAACAAATCATCATGAAGGTAGGAAACTAGCTAAGTAGTAAAGTACAGAGAAACTACACCGGGGCTTGGAAGCTCGAATCATCTGCCGAGTGCTTGAATAGGGTAAAGGTACGGTCCGCGATGACCTTATGAAAATGCAAAAGGTTGTGTGGGAGGTTAGCGCGGTCCGCGTGGACAACCTTGTGCCAGTTTTGCGGCGGAAAGTTGTAAGGTAAAGGAGTTATGACGCAAAGTTGCCTCAGTGACACCTCCTTTTTCCAGTGACTCCGCCTCCAGACTCCGCCTTCAAAGCCCACCTTCCAGCCAAAAGCGATGCTACCGCACAAGTAGCATGAAAGGGGAGATGCTCCATAGTCTCTTGCAGTGTCATAAGGCCTATGGAAGAATGAATCGAATGGATGCCATCCCAGCAGTCTATAGGCCTTTTACCCGTACACCTGCCTGAGTTGGCATTTTCTCTTCACTGACGAGTCACTCGAAAAGTTGTCTTCCTTACTTCAACACCATTTAATTAGCTCCTCATAACGGACAGTGCCTTTAAGTTCCTCGCTGAGGTGTTGTGGTCCGGGATCCTGGTCCTTACTCCAGAATGCCAGCTCGACGTAAGCGATGGTTTCGCTGACAACATGACCTCGAGAAGAACGACTTCAACCGGAATACCAGGCGAATCGGAAAGGGGGAACGGTCAAGCAGGGGGCGGTACCGTTCATAAGGTTCCTCATACAACTATGCAGTCAGAACTAATCATAAATGTGAAGATTGATACAAAAGGGCAGGCCCAAGAGCAGTTCGTTATAAATATGTGATGTAACCCTCCAACTATTAGGTTGTCCGGAAAGTTCTCAGCGTTTTGTGTTACTATTTTTTGTACATTCATTGCTGATTAAAACTCATTCTCCCTTGCGTCTCAGTAGTACATCCTGAAGAGAATTTTTGCGCTATCTGATGGTATAATTGCCGTTTCTTGATAAACCCCCTTTTCCCAAGACTTTTTGAAGCATGTCAAAAGAGCAACTTCGGACGATATTTTTCTTCGACTCAAATTGGGTCAATCCGCAGTCGAGACAGCTCGACAAATTAACCAGGTGGGGGCCCAATAGTGTTGGAGAAAGCACCGTGCGGCAATGGTTCGACAAATTTCGTTCTGGAGATTTCAGCCTTGAAGATGAACCTCGTAGCGGTCGACCTAAAGCAATACCTGACGAGGATTTGAAGGCGTTTGTGGAGGCTGACCCATCCCAAACAGTTCGAGAGATTGCAGAAAAGCTAGGCGTTGGCAAATCCACTGTTGCAGATGGTCTGAAACGCATTGGGAAGGTGAAAAAACTCGACAAGTGGGTGCCCCACAAGTGAGTGACCGGCAGAAATTGGCACGTCTCGAGGTTTCCTCTTCACTGCTTTTGCGCAACAGAAACGACCCGTTTTTGGACCGAATTGTCACCTGTGATGAAAAGTGGATCATGTATAATGACAGGAGACGTTACGGACAGTAGTTGGACGCCGACGAAACACCGAGAGCAATTCCTAAGCCGAATCTTTCGCCTAACAAAAGGTACATGTCCAAGTGGTGGTCATCGGCTGGTGTGATCCACTATAACTTTTTGTCACCAGGCCAAACCATCACAGCAGAGTCCTACTGTGAAGAAATCGACGAAATGTACCGAAAATTGCGTCAGCTGCAGCCAGCACTTGTCAACAGAAAGGGTCCGATTCTTTTGCATGACAACGCCGCGCCTTACATTTCACAAATCGCTATTCATAAACTGAACGAATTGGGGGATGAAGTTCTACCTCACCCGCCATGTTCACTACACCTTTCACCAACCGACTATCACCTTTTCAGACATTTTCAGAACCTTGCTGGAAAATACTTCATCAATCAGGACCAGGCAAAAAAGGCCTACATGGACTTCGTGGATTCTCTACCACCCAGTTTTTTCTTTGATGGGATTTATCGAATGGTGTCACATTGGCAAAAGTGTGCTGATTCGAACGGTGCTTATTTCGATTAAATCCGATGAGTATTAAGAAAGTTATGATCGTTAAAGTGAAACACTCAAAACGCTGAGAACTTTCCGGACAACCTAAATGTACATGCAATTCTAAGTTACGCAACAACCTATGACGATACTAGAAAGAGTCAAATGAATCAGAATAAAACAAAGCAATGGCGTTAGAAGATTCATTGAATTGAGTTTTTCAAGATTTGAACAAAGATCTACTGCGCCATGCCAACATTTTCAGAGCCTGTGCTGCTGATTTCGACTTTTTAACGACAATCGGAAAGGGAAGTTTTGGACGCGTATTTCAGGTTGTGCATAAGGAAAGCGGTAGAATCTATGCAATGAAAGTGCTCTCAAAAGAACATATCAGGAAAAAAAACGAGGTTAGGCAATGATTATTTCTTTCTGAGTCAAGCTGCCCTAAAGTGTAACCAAAAGCTACAGCGGTTGAAAAGTCGTGGTTTTTTTACCTAAAAATTCATAAACTCGATTCGGAATGTTATTAACTTAGTGTAATAATAATTGTGTTTCTTTGGAAAAGCTGCGAGGTTGGTTGGGAAACTCGTGAGTTTCATTTGCAAAGTCGGGGAAGTCGTTTGTGAAGTCGGTCGAAGTGAATTCCGCCTGAAAGCTTGATTTGAAAGGCAGTGAATTTGGTTCCTCAAGTCGTGAAATTTGCATGATATGTCGCGAACTTGGTTTGAAGAGCATTGGATTCGGTTTGAAATGTCGTGAACATGATTTATAATGACGTGCATTTGATCAAGAATGTCGCTGGCTTGGATTCAATACTCCTGGATCCTTATTTGAAAAGACGTGAATTTGGTTAGGACACTCGTGAATTTATATTGGAGAAGTCGTGCAATGGGATTGAAATGTCGCGAATTTAGATTCGATATGCCGTGAACTTTGATTTGAAATGACACTAGCTTGAGTTGAGTACTCCTGCTATTTCTCCGAAGGAACGTAATTTTTTTCTACAACTCGTAAGAGTACATTTGGGCACTATTGAACTATTCCTGTCCCAAAAAAAAACTCAAAGAAATTTTTTCGTTGAAACGTTGCCTAAAGATGTAATTCGATGCGCTGATTACGAATATAACATCCGTTTCGAGCGGTGACGTCATTTGGCGCCATTGTGCGCCGGTTTGCGCCCCCACTTTTACCAAAGGGTGATGACACTTGCGCATATTGGGGGGGGGTAGTATTGAGGTCCTAATTACGGATATCATACTGGTTTCAATCAACGCTGGCGCCATTGGCGCCATTATGCGCTAATATGGCGCCAAATTGTCGCATAATGGCGTCAAATGGCGCAGCGCCAATAACAAATGGTGATTCTGTAATCAGGACCTCAATTAACCCCCATATGCAAGTTTTCATCGACTTTGGTGAAAAAAGTGGTGGGCGCCAAATTGGCGCATAATGGCGCCAAATGGCGCCAGCGTTCGAAACCAGTGTGATATTCGTAATCAGGACCTCAATTAACCCCCATATGCAAGTTTTCATCAACTTGGAAAAAGTGGTGGGCGCCAAAATGGCGCATAATGGCGCCAAATGACGATAGCGCTCTGATCGAATGTGATATTCGTGTTCAGGGCATCAAATTAAACCTATAGACAAAGTTTCGGCGAAAATTTTTTTTGAGTTTTTTGGTGTAGGAATAGTTCAATAGTGCCTACATTTGCAAAGTCGTGATTTGGACTTGAAATGTTGTGAGTTCTTATTTGAAATTTCCTGCATTTGATTTGGAACGACCTTAGCTTGGGTAAAATACACATGTTCTTTACTTAGAAAGCCGTGAATTTGGTCTTCAATACTCGTGATTCTTTATTTGCAAACACGAGAATTTAGTCCGGAAACTTCTAAAGTTTGTTGGCATAGTCGTGAAATTGGTTTGAAATGTCGAGAATTCGGTCAAATGTGGTGAATTCGATTTGTAGCGAAGTTTGCTTGTCTACAAGTACTGGTGGTTCTTTATTTTGAAACACGTGAATTTAGTTTGGATACTTCTAAAATTTTGCTTGGCAAAAGCGTAATGGAATTTTCTTAAATGTGGTGAATTCCGATTTGTGACCAAAGTTGCTCCGTCTTCCTCACTCGTGTTCTTATCTTGGATTGCCGGCAATTTACCTCTATAACTTCTGAATTTTTTGCTTGCACAAAGTCGTGACATTTGCATAAATAAGGTGAATTCGATTTGTAACAAAGTTTGCTTATCTTCAATACTCCTGCTTCTTTATTTGCATGCCTGCGAATTTAGTTTGGGAAATATTGAATTTTTGCTTGCAAAGTCGTGACATTTTCTCGAAATGTGGTGAATTCGATTTGTAACAAAGTTTGCTCGTATTTAATGGTCGTGGTTCTTTATTTGGAAACACGTGAATTTAGTTTGGAACTTCTGAATTTTTGCTTGCAAAGTCGTGAAATTGGTTTGAAATGTCGAGAATTCGGGTTCAAATGTGGTGAATTCGATTTGTAGCGAAGTTTGCTCGTCTACAATACTCGTGGTTCTTTATTTGGAAACACGTGAATTTAGTTTGGATACTTCTAAATTTTTGCTTGCAAAGTCGTGAAATTTTCTTGAAATGTGGTGAATTCGATTTGTAACAAAGTTTGCTCGTATTTAATGCTCGTGGTTCTTTATTTATATGCCCGTGAATTCAGTTTGGGAACCATTGAATTATTGCTTGCAAAGTAGTGAAATTGGTTTGGAGCGTGACGTTTTTAGATTTAAAATGTCGTGCGTTTGGTTTTGGAACAACCTTAGCTTGAGTTGATTACTCGCGGTTCTTCGGTTAGAAGGCCGTGAATGTGGAATTGAACCTCCTGAGTTTAAGTTATCGACTCATGGACAACTCCTGCACACTTCTTAAAAATTTCGTCGCAAATTTCGAGTTTTGAAAGTGCGCCACAGCCTTTCATTTGCAGGTCAAACATGTAATGGCAGAACTAAGCGTGCTGAAAGCCAACTTCGAGCATCCTTTCCTCGTTTCTTTGCATTTTTCTTTCCAGAACAAGGAGAAGTTGTATTTTGTGCTGGATCATCTGAATGGAGGCGAGGTTCGACATTAATACTCCGTTTACTTTTCATAACAACATACCTAACTTTCAGCTTTTCTCACATCTCCAGAAAGAAAGGCATTTCTCCGAACTACGCACTAGATTCTACGTCGCTCAGATTGCATCTGCTCTTGGATACTTGCATGAGAAATATGTAATATACAGGTAAACTACTTCCTTGCTGTAAGTTTCAGTCGTAGTGGAATAAATTTTACTTGTATCGGGAAATGTTCGATGACTCGCAGGTCGCAGAATCCGCGGCGTGGGGGAGGGGGGTGAGGGGAGAGGCTCGTATGTGATTCTCCGGTAAGGAGAGGGGGTAGTGTTAAAAAGCACAGAGCATTAGCAATTTCAAGTGAAATTCTGCCCATACTTTTGGCCCTCGCCATGTAGCCTAGTATCTTAGTTGTTTTGGAAATTCACAAGCAGTTTCATCATAAATGAAACTCTGGCATAGTAACAGTTAGTTTTCCCATGCAC